TCTGGGTTCTGAAACTTTAAATGTACGTTCTGGAAAGTGAGCCGCCGAAGGCAAAATGTGCGAAGCAATGGGTGTAGGGTTGACCCACAGCAACCCTGCAAAAACCGCAAGAAGGCCCTGCGAAATACACCAGGGCACCCTGACTATGAGGAACAGGATCCTTCGAGGCCAACACACGCAAAACTCCAAGCCCAAGAAGCCCTGAGCCCCAAACCCTAAGACCCCCCCTCCCCGCCCAACACTCACTAAACCCTATTATAAACCTTAAGCCCAAGGAACAGAAACAAAACACAAACAAATAAAGCCCAGGCTCTGACACGACGTCTACTTGCCCCGTCCCGGCTCCCCGGAGGAGCTCCTGAAGTGCTTCGGATACTTTGGGTGGTTGGTGAGGGCTTTGGGGGTCGTTTATGGGCTTGGGGAATATGATTCAGGTCTGGGGTTTGGCGGCGTTAGGGCTGTCAGTTTTGAGGTTTGGGGGCTCGGTGTTGTGTTGAGGGGTTCAGGGGGTTCGATCTGCCATCCGAGCACGGTTTTGCCCGAGGCAAGACTGAAAGGAGATGGGCGTTCTGGTTTTTGTGAGGGGTCCTTCGAAAGGTCCTTGAAGGTAGTGTCAGGGTGCGGGAGCAAGGAGACTGTGCTTTGAAGAACACACCGGCACAAATGGACGTGCGGCCAGTTTGTGCTGAAGAATGGGCTGACATAGCAGATATAATAAATATATCATCTTCGTGTAGTTTGCTTTTGCTGTGGAGGCAAAGGGTTGACGGTTACAGCAGTAACAAGTCGTATAGAATGTGCAGGCGGTTTGGGTTGGAGTAGCTCAGAAACGCAGGGAGTATGGCTGTGAAACCCTCAACCTACGCTGGGTGACATCTAACAAAGCAGATCGGAGAAATCATCGGCGGACCGACAATTACAAAAGCCCTACAGACTAGCCATGCTTATGACTGTGGACGTACCCTTCGCGTAGCCAACAGTGTCCGCAGGTCAAATGCCTGTCTTTCCCTCTTCCTGAAGCTCAGAATTCACGACATAGTAGATTGATGTAGTATACTGCTACTCTGAAAACTGGGTGCACAATACCATACGCGTCCAAAAAAGTTCCCTAACCCTGCACCCTGTACTCGGCTCCTCCTTGCAAGCCTGTTGAAGCAGTTGGAAGGCCACCTGCAGAATCTACGGAGCACTGGAACTCTTGGACCCCTTGCTACATGCCGTAGTCCTAGGGTGCATGCTGAGCTGTAGTAGAGCACACTGCAGCACACTGAGTCGACACGCCCCAGTCTGAAGTCATTGTGGCCGGCCCGTTCCAGGTCTCAAGAGCGATTGTTCCTCGCAACTACAGTAGCCCAGAACTGTACGGGCGTGTTCACCAGGCATTTTCTGAATCAAAACGCACATAGCATGCTAGTGAAGTGTGTACATAAAACCGACCATGCACTACCATACATGCCATTCCGGCGCACTGCGCGGTCCAATACACTGGTATACTCACGAATGGCAAGACGTTGTAGTGCAGATTATGCTACGGGACAGACAAATTTGACCGGTGAGGGAGTTTGCGGACAAGGGCTTCGGGCATGGACGCACGTCATGCGGTGTGACATCGTCATCCCAATTGTCGCCTACATCGAAGTAAGACCTTTCCATGCGCAGTATAGCATGGTATCATGGACTTTACTTAACACCCAGAAGTCATGCCTCTGGGTCGAGTCTATGCAGGTTTGGGTCGAGGGCGCCAGTACCATGTTGCCCCAAGCGACCCCTCCCCAGAACACCACAAACTACAGCTCTCCTCTAGTGCATGCGCGCTTTGGGTTTTTTCGGACAGCCGCCTTGACGCATGTCCCCTCAAGTCTGATGCCGCTCATCCCTAAGCCGTGCCTTCACTTCCTGGGGTCTGCCGAGGCTGTCCCAAGATCGCTTCTCGGGCATAACCTCCTCGGCACGACGGCTTTTCGAGGTACAAGATTTACACAAGGGTCCGTGCACGGACCCTTGCACGGATACTCCTAATCGTTCTTATGTGAAGTTCATGAAAGTGGAATAACGTGGTCAGGACCCTGCAAGAGAAACAACTGTTTGACAGAATCAGCCGCTATGCTAAAGGCACAACCACCGTCGTAGGCCCCTAATCCTAAACCTAAACCCCAAAGTTAAGCACAGTACTACCTTTCAACGTGCATGGCAAGGCTCGTCTCCCAGAAGCAGCACGCAGCAGAACCGCGTGCGGCCGGTCTGAGCAGCTAACAGTCCTGGGGGTTTGACTTATTGGTGGAAGCTTGAGCTCGGGAGGTTGGGGTATAGGGCTTAGGCACATGGGATGTGACGTTTGGCTGAAGGTTCGGGCCTCTAGGGGTAGAAGGCAAATGACGGCCAGGATTCATGTTCCAGGGTTTAGAAGCAGAAGCCTGCCTGTGGTTGGGAGGCTTCTCAATTGCGAGATGCTGCGTGGAAACCCTGTCGTGGGCCCTTCCCGGGTGCCCCTCGAAGCAGAATCACCATTAATGGATCCTGTGAGCTAAACCACTAAACCGCGATCTGATTCCTTTTAAGCACAACCAACCTCCTGCAGTTCGTAAGGCCTGAGCCTATACGAGTGGAGCCCTAGACTCAAGTTTGCTGTGGGTTATATGCCCCACAGCCTGAGCCGATGCAGACACCCGACAAGCTTTAAATTGCAGCAGGATCGTGTTAGGGCACCGAAACATTTCGTCACTCACACAGTAAGGATCCCAGAATGGATTCTCATCTAATGTACCCATGTAGAAGCTGACTGTGCCTGTAAAACCACGGTATACTAAACCATCATGTGAGTGACTGGGCGTCTCAGGTACACATAATGCCTGAATACTTCGTAATAGTCTTCCTCTCGTCCTGACAAGCCTTTTTCTAACTATCAAGGTCACTACATTACATAAATGTGACATACCCGCGGGCTTCCATGGCACCCAAAACCCTAAACTAAAGCCCGAGAGCCTGCTCCCAACACAAGCAGGGGCCTTTCAGTGCTCCAGCCAAGTCCACATCGAATCCGGGATCGGCAGACCTCGGTAAAGTGGCAAAGGGCCAGAGCTTATTTGCTGCTTTTAGGGCTCGGGGTTTGGGTCCTACGACGCACCAGCTCCTGTAGGCCCCAAGCAGTAGGATCCTGAATAAAAGCCTTGCCACTAGGGGACGAACCCCCAATTTATTGAACAAATGCAACACAAAGCACCAAGAAGATGCAAAAAAAGGGCCCGAAGCCTGACGTGCCAGAACCCAAAGCACATTCGAGGTCCCTCTGCATTGTGGCACCTCTGAAGGCCCGTCTTCGGGCAAGCTCGTACCCGTGAGGAATGCTACGGAACTCTCGAAGTTCGACATGACTGCCGCTGCCACAGGGACTCCTACCCGCAACGAAACACTGAAACCAGAAACACCTAAACGCTAAATGCCCAAAAACACCAACAAATCTGAACACAAAACGAAATCAACATTCACTAAACACGCAAAAACAACAAACTACTAACACTAACTGGCCTCAAAGCCCTGAAATCTTACTTTCTAAAAAATCTAAAGTCAGCTACCAAGGTGCAGGTTGATCTCCAGCACCGTGCTTCCGGTCATCGCCGAGACTACCTGGACTTAGGGTGCAAGGTTCAAGGTTTCAGGGTGAAGGCTTTCAGGTTTATGAGGCTTTCGGGTCCCAGGCGCGCTTTTGGGGGCTGAAGCTGCGGGCTTGTGAGGCCGGAAAGGTTGCCTGGGATGAAGTTTCGGGGTCTTTGCATTCGTGGTGCCTTGTTGGGTGCGAGGCCTTGGGATTCGGATCTCTGGCTCTCTGGCTAAGGGTTTGGGGCTTTAGGGTAATTATGCAGTCCAGAGACAAAGCCTCGAACATCAACTTGAAGATCAGGCTGCGTCTCTGGTCAGGAAGTTGCAAACGCTGAAATCTGAAAAGCTCCTGAAATGCTCAGAAAGACAAATGACGTCGGCTCCTGGCGAATGATTCGAAACCCACCTTGCTTCAGGTCCACAGCTTCACACTGAACTAACCCCGTGTGTGCGAATCCTTCCTGAGCGATGGCGGCTTAGGGGTGAAAGGATTTGGGGGCCTAGGCTAGGTCCGGCTTTCTCCATCTCATCGGCTGTAACAACAACACAGTATGTCAGTATGCAAGTCCAATCCCTCGCCGTCACCTCCCGTGCAATCTTGTCTATCAGATGAGGCGGCTTGAAGCATCATTTACGGTGAAAGGAACTGTATAGTACCCGCTATTGCCACCATCATAGATCCGTTATGGGAACCCTCACAGGAACTCCGAACCCTGAAACCTTTTACAAATTCATGTGCGGGCTGCTCGGATGAGACCACGCTCGTCTGCTGCCGCTGCCACCATTTTCGCAAAGCTGTCAGCAGCTGGGGGCCAGGGCCACCCTAAATTTAGGTGGCTTGCAATGGCACCTCGTCTAACCTCACGCGGCCTTCACATCTTAAACGGGCTCGGAGGCATCAGTGAGGAACTTGTTTCGAGGTTTCTTCGGTTTCCTCACGACCTATAGGTCATGGGCAAGCTTTTGGTGTTTTGCGGTGTAGGCTTCGCGATGTTTGGTTTAAGGGCGAAATAATTTGATTCGGGGTCCTGCAAGTGGTCATCCCGTCGGGATTTCCGACACTGCGGACAGCTCAAGCAGCAGCAGATGCATGCAGCCCAGGTCTACATCGCACGCCAGTGCTGTGGAGAGACATACTAGTATAGTACTCAAAATATCATCCAGCATGTCGCCGACAGCCACTTTAAGGTCATATACTCATCATATTTGCCGTCGAGACGGCTCTGACCCTCGAAGCATAAGAAATGAACAGTAGAAATGCCTGTCAAGACGTAGGCACCCTCATCACAGAGGCAACGGTGAGCGAAAAGTTAAGAGATGGCTACTAAAACTCAGGACATATTATGAGATGAGTGACAGCTGGCACTACAACAAGCCGCACCCACGAGACCCAAGGCCAACACCCATGGCCACCAGCAGATATGGGTCGACCTAAGCGTGGCCCATGCCAGCTGCTGCAAAAATCATCATTGGAGGAATTTGCAGGAGCAATATTCATGCTTTGCTTGTTTAGGGCTACATTGAACCACGATTCGTATGCCTATTTGGGCCACCCAGTCAGGGTCAGAGGAGTCAGAGGATGCATGGTGGCTTCCAGCTATCAAAGCCAAGATCCTGTGGACAACTCTTCGACGCCTATTACGAAGAATTCTGACAGATTCATGGGGTTGGGGACGTTTACCCCACACCCATCTGGACTCTGCTTCGGTATGTCATACTGCTACTGCATACAGACAAGGACAAAGGACAACCTTCAGCTCGCATCTCGTGCACCAGCAACTGCAGTTGTTGCTGCACCTGCAAAGCCCAAGCTCAAGCACTTAAACAACAACGCCAGAGAAACCCTGCATACCCTTAACCCGGAACCAGGACCTGAAAGGACCTCATCCGTATGGTCCGAAATCCCCAGCTCAAAACCCCAAATCCTGAGCACTAATTCCGAAACCCGGTACTCCCATACCTAAGCCCTAAATCCCGAAACACCCAACCCCCAAGAAGGAAGCCCTCAGAATCCTAAACGCGCCCAGAAGGGCCTAAATCAACACCCAAGCCCAAACCCGGCTCCGAGGCACTAACATGCGCAAAGTCTTCTCAGAGATGGGCTCCGCTCGTTGCAATGAGGCCTAGGCGATGCAACGGCTCCAGCAAGGGTTCTCAAGGGCGGTTTAGGGTTTAGGTAGGGTTTAGAGATTTCTTTGGGAGGGTTGCTACGGAAACAGTTCTGAGGGGGCAGTGGCGTTTTGTTTGAAGGGTTTTGGGTTTAGGTGCAGGGTCGTCATGTTCGAGTTAGAGGAAAGAGGCTCCTTCCTTGGAGGAGTGGGACGAGTTAATCATCTTAATATAATGACAATGATACCAGTAACATTTCTTGTAAGAAATTACTATTGACACTATTGTTATCGCTATTCTTCTTAGTAGGACCCCTTGTCATATGGGGCGTGTAAGGTTATGGGTGTCTTTGGACTTTGGATAATGGCTGGGAGGAGGCCTTCTCCGTTTGAGAATTACAGGTACCGGGATGAGACAAACAGTGAACGACAGACATCCTAGGATGGACAAGCCAAAATAAACACTATTGTACTGCGTCATGTTATAACATGTCATGGTGTCATAGTGAGGCAATGAATATTATGTAATGCTATTCCCTAGAAGAGTCGTGTGTCAACTATACTGCAAGATAATACTATACCATACCAGACCATACCGTACCATGCCATTTCATACCATACCCTACCGTACCATATCAGACCATACTATATAGATCCGATGCCTGTTGAGCAAAGGCTGCTTGTGCTGTCTCAAGGGAAAGAGCCCGCACAACAAAACGTGAGATTGCACAGAAAATGATAAGATAACGGTAAAAAGAGCAAGAGTTGCTCGTGGTGCAGGGGTTACAGCCCTCTGTTGAAGGGGTATGCGGTTTGGGGATATCGGCAGCAGACACTAGCAGGAAATAAGTAGTTCATAAAGATATACCTATACCTTTTTCTTGTCGTGCTGATGTCCATCGGCAGGCCGCGTTGGGCACCTAGAGGAGGGCCTCATGAATCCTCCAAAGCCAATTGTTATTGGATCTTTAAATGCTTTGGCTATGATCGCTCCGTATCCTCTGTTTAACAATGCAATTAAGTAAACAAAAAAAGATGTTGTAGTACCATTGTTCTCCTTGTACCCGTGCAGTGTATTTCGATCAGGGTTCCTCTACTATGCCTGCTAGTGCATAGTGTGAACCTCCCCTTGTGCTTGAGTCCCTGATGGCTCGAGAACCAAGCCTGCGGTTTCCAGCGGGCCTGTTTAGGGTTACCTTGAAGGAGATCCTTGTTCATGCTACGCAGCTTGCACAAAGTGGTGGATGGGTGCTTCGCGATGTGCAAGAAACGAGCACGGCGGAGAATTGCCACGTCCCTATCCACCTGCCTACCTGCGAGATCTACATGGATATCTGCTGTCTATGTTCATCTATGCCTATCTTTACACCAGTCTGCCGAGCTAGCACTGTACAACTACCTTTCTACGTGCACTGCGTGTGCATGCACTGGTTCGCACACCGCAAATAATGTGTGTATCTGGGTTTTTGGTCGTTAGCCAGGATTCTAAGACCCTCCAACATGCTACATGTGCTGCTTCTTCCAGGACTCAGTGGTACGGCCCCACAGTTTGCCTTGCAGGCGCACCAGAGAAGACGGCCTGGAAAGGGAGCTGCCAGGACGTTCCCAAGAAGGGTTGGGCTTTGGGGTTTGGGGTTTCCGTTTTCCTCGTTTTGCAAGGAATACCCCGATTGGGCATTCCCTAAACCCCTAAACTCGTGATCCAAGGTTGCAACAGCTATGAAGGGCATTGCAAGAAGAAATGCGGCTCAGGGTGCATTGACAGGGCACCTGCTGAATGTCGTTCCATCAGGTCCCTGATTAGCATGCAGCTTCTAGACTCTAGAACCGGAGTCGTCGAAGTAGACATCTCTGTCATCTCTGGTATGAAGTTGCCATTCGTGACAGAGTAGCACAACTTAACTGCACACAGATGCCTGTAAGCTTACGTGAGATGTAGACTGCTCGAGAAAAGGCTGTCAACAAGCGGAAACCCATGAGCTACAAGAGCCATCATTACACGTGCATTTACTAAGAATCACACTGCGAAGGATATAACCCAAGGTGCATCTTCTGAAGAACGTTGGAGCACCAAGCAGCCACGGAGCCCGAAATCATTACAGTCCTTGAAACTCTACAAGGCCAGAAACCCAAATCTCCCCTCCAGCTGCCACAAGGTGTCCCTCGGCCTAGCCAAGTCGTATCCTCTTGTCTGCTTCGCCAACTGGCCCAGGGCATCCAGTCATGGTGAACTCCAGGACTCTTAGACTTACACTCATACCGTCGACTGGAACTGCAAGAGGCTTTTAAAGCAGAAACTCTAGTCCTGCTCTTCAGGACGGTAAACACGAGAGAACGGAGCACCGGTCCGACTTGAAGCTGGGAGACTGGCGTACGGATGCACAGACACAACCCCACGTGACCGACATCCTACATTCATGGGCAAAGTCAGAACAAGACCGCCAGCTCCATGACATGACGTCTGCCCTCAACCCTCGGAAGCCAGGAGATCTAGGCCTTAGGACCGAAGTCTCCTGGCCTGCACCTAAGGTGCAGGTCTTGAGCTCAACGAATCAGAGGTCGCAGATCCCCGGACAGCCCCAACAGGCAAGTCTTGAGCACCCTTCTGAAGTTCGCAAGCCCTTCACCCGACAAACATGATGATGCCCATGACGATGACGATGCTGCTGATGATGATGATCACATTCTCGATCGTCTGCGTAACAATATTTAATGACTGGCAAGGGCAAAACCCAGCCAGACTACAGTACAGACACTACACACTCACAATTGAAACAGCTCGGGAGATTACGCCGGGCCTCCGTTGCCTGTGACCTGACCACTATTCTCGTGAATGTAGAGGATCGGGTCCTGCAAAGCATGCCGGCACCAGGTGCAGCTTCTTTCGGCGGAAGGACTTCGGTGATTGTTCGATCAGGAGTCTCGATATGACGGGATTCCCAGATTTCAGTGCTGCGAGTTATAACAGCAGACGTCCTTGGGATTAAGAGTCGGTGGAGTAAGTACAGTTTGGTGGGCTCATGTTTGCCACAGGGACGGTGGCAGCCCCTGCGAAATCGCAAAGCTGACTTTGATCTTGATAGCAACATGCCATCATCACCACCGTCATCGTCATCAAGGTTATCATCATCGATATCATCATCATCATCATCATCTCCATCATCTTCACCATCATAACCATCATCAGCAACATCATCATGGGAGGTCTGCACCAGCAGCCTGGTCGTCCTCATCATCAGCCCTACGAGTGCAGAGTTATAGTGAGCACAAGCACCGCTGTCAGCATCGTCGCCACCGTCAAGACCTTCGGTTTCTCGTCACTCGCCCGCACCACTCTCCCTTCCCCACTAATGGAGTCAAAAACCTGAACACCCTCAGCATTGCAGGTTGATGTGGCAGCGGGATAGTGCTTCCAATTTCCAATCGTACTACAGCATCTGGCTAAGGATCATGTCGGATCCTCGACTTAAGCCAGATTTGATGCATGTCTTCGACTCCCATCTTCAGAGTCTATATCCGGGATTAGGCGACAAGACACTTGGTTGGATTCGAGCAACACATGAACCCACAAACCTTCGATAACAAAACCCACCGCACATCCAGACATAATCGGCTAAACCGACGTCAAGCCTCGCCATTCCGTCTTGCTTCTGCAGCCCCCTGCGGAAGTCACCGGCTGGGGAGTGAAGTTCTGGGGAGGAGTGGCTTCAGTGTAGTCGCGCTTTTTTGAATATTCAATTCCTTTAAACACGCCGTCGTCTCGGCACATGTAAACGCACATCCACCGTCGCACAGGCCCAAACCGTCAGATCCCTGGAAAGGGCTTCCAAGGCGGGATGCAGAAGGGTGGGGAGATCCCAGATATACAAATGCTTAGTACACGGGATCCTCAGCCCTAGCAACGCTTAGCCCAACTGTGTTGAAGCCCTTAAACCCTAAACCTCTACAGTACTCCTTTAAGGAAGCCAAGCAACAAAGATCTCATCGGAGGTCCCTATGCAACAAGCCATCAACCAAAGAAAACGAAACCACAAATCAAGTGCTCAAAGGCCTTAATAACTTCGATACCTTTTTTGAGGCCTCTTGAAGCCCGAATCCAGGGCAAAACACCAGAGGTCGCGACCTCCAACAGCTGCATCGCCGACCTCTCATTGAAGGCTTAAGGGTTTTGAGTTTTGGAGGTTCGGTTTAGGAATCCAGGGTTTAGGGTTTTGCGAGGCTTGGTTTAGGGATCTAAGGTTTAGAGTTTGGGAGTGCTGGATGTAGGAGTCTAGGGTTTACTTCGGGTTTAGCAGCAGGTTATGACTTAAGGTCTAGGACTTAGGAGTCTAAAGTTTCAAGAATGGGGTTTCGGAGTTCAGGTTTCAGGGGGAGCCAAAACTACTGAGACTCTCCAACTTTGACAACTCCAATCAGGGGGCCTCAATGGTTCGACCAGGATTGTATTGCGCTGGTGCAGGGACTCATATAACCAGTGCTTTGTTACTTAGTGACCAACTAGAACAGGGTTTTGGGGACGTTATAGCAAAACCTGGTATATAGGTCCCAAGAGGGGGTAGTCTTGCCTAGTTGTTGAATATATTGATGTCAAAGAAGCTCTCTGAGACCAGAGCCGCAGCGGCATCCGAGCCAGCACGCCGGAAGACTCGTCGTCCTTAGCAAAACTGTTTGTAACATCTATGATATCCACACAATTAAGATGTACAGCTGTGTTATCAGACTCCCCGATTACAAAACCCTCCCCCGCCCCGACCAAATACTGAGGCCGATTCTCGACCGAAGCCACACGAACAACTGAATAAAGCCGAACCTAAAAATCCCTAGACCTGGCAACTTAGGACCAAAACTCAAACCTAAACCCCGAACCCTTCTCACCCTCAAGCCCGAAGTGACAAAGAACCTCGCAGCTGCAGCTGCATGACTGACACTGATAGCTCGAAACCGAAACTCTTCAATTCCCACTCTTTGAACCACAATGCAAGGTGTAGAACTTGTCTACTTCGAATTTTCCCATA